GGGGGGGGGGTTGTTTGTTGGTTTCCGTTTGGTTGTTTTTTGTTTTTTGTTTTTTTCCAGAAGGAAATAAATGAATTGTCATCTCGACATTAGTTTGGTAAAAGAAGCAAATTGGTATGAAACTGTATATATGTGCATGATTTTTTTTTTTTCCTTTCTGATATCTCTGCCTCTTCCTCTCTCTGTCATTAAAGGAAGGAATACCCCTGGGAAGCCAGTGAGAGAGGTCAGTGAGATTCAGGCCCACAGCCATGGCTTCTGTCTGTCTCATCCCGCTTTCTGTGTTTGGCGTTTGTGTAAGAACTGTGAGCGTGCACGCGCATGTCTGTATTACACGTGTCATCATGTAAGGATGGTAGTCACCTCCCCACTCGCAGCTTCATGAGGAACAGTCCTCAACTATCCATTGCCATTGTCATCACCATGACGACAGGACGACGGGTTGGGGAACGCAGGAGTCTCTTTGAAATGAAAACCCTTCATAGCACCTGGGTTGGAACCATCTGTTGCCACTTGCAATGCAAATGAAACGAATCTATCCTTGGACACAATTGCTGAGTCCCTAAGGCCTCTTTCTAGCATTTTCTGCCAGTGCATTTGGTTTGTATTCTGGGATGACCTCGTTCTGGGTTGTTTTCTGTTTTCCGGGTCCCTATGCTCTTCCTTTCCCACTTGACTGGTATTTTTTGAGCACTTCCTGTGTGCCCAGCACTGTTCTAAGTACTTGCCACCTTTTTCACTATGTAATCATGGAAAACGTATGAGGTAGGTACTCTTATTAACCCCATTCTACAGATAAGGAAACTGAGTCAGTGAAAGGGTAAACTGTCCAAGGTGACAGAGCCAGGGTCTGAATCCAGGCAGCCTGGAGCCGGGTAGAACATGAACCAAGAGGAGATAAAAAATGAATGGTGGGAGTCTTCAGGGGTTTTTAATGCCTCTTTTTGATTTAAAAGGGGTAGGGTACAGCATTATCACTGAATGTGGTTTGGGGTTTTATAGTGAAAGCTGCTTCATACTCCCGTTTTACCATGAATATTATCTAGACATTGAATTACCTAATCAAATGACTGTTGAGTGACAGCCCAAGTGAAACAAAATTGTCCTTAGTGTGAAGGACATGAGAAGGAAAGCTCTGTCGTGGAAGGCAATAGCATGTACTAATCTGGGAGACAGGACAGGTGAAGAGTCCTTATATGAGAAGGTTCTGGATCCTTAGCAATAGGATAGACAAGAGTAGCCACTGCTTCATTTAAACATAAGGAGCCATACTGGAAATTCTGCCAACACCATGCCATGCAAGTGTAATGATTGAACGATCCTTCAGCGTGTCTACACCATGCACCCTCCGAGGCTTGGGGCAGTGGGTCCCAGGGAGGGAGTGGGAGGCCGGGAGGAGAAACTGAGGAAACCTGAATCGGTGAAGCATTGAATGCTCCTGACGGTTTGCCTGGCTCACATACTTCTTATGTGAGACATCTTGGGTTCATTTGTATGGTAAGTGCCCCTTCAAATGTATTTTAACTTGTCAAAAGTTGCACCATAATTTTGACCCCCCTGAACATGTTTCTCTTATGAATGAATTTTAGAAAAGGCCAGCACATATAATTGAAGTCATATAGGCATTTGGTATCTTTATCTGGTTTTTGGATTAGGGTGATGCTGGCCTCATAAAAAGAGTTTGGGAGTTTTCCCTCCTCTTGAATTTTCTGGAATAGTTTGAATAGAATAGGTGCATATAGGCATTTGGAAACTTTACTACCTGAGGTGCATTATAGTTGAACAAGTTTCCAGAAAGCCAGAAAATCAAAATAACAGTAATGTTTTAATGCCATGAAAATACCCCCAATGTATAGTAGACCAGATCGTTGTGGGTTTGGTTTTTTTTCTTCTTTTTTTTTTTTCTTTCCAAAGATTAAATTACAGAGAAGAAAACATAAGCAAATTTCCCTGCAGTATTCTTACTTTGCTTTGGCCAGTTGAATGCTAACCATTTACTTGGGCATTGTATTTTTTAAAAATAGAGTGCCAGATTGCTATTGAGGTCTTGGATCACTGCCAGAAAGTCTCAATTCCAATCACTGCGGAAAACAACTCCCTCGGGCAGTGGTGGCTGTGAGACCAGTGTGTCGCAGTTAGCACCAACTTGGAAACACACACCCCTGCCCTACCGCTCAGCGCACGGTGCCTTTGTGTTCCAACAACCCTTGCGCTCAAATGGATTACATTAATGCTTTCTACAGATGCATTTTTGTGTCGACTTCCTCCTGAAGCTGATCTCGGATGCCTGAATCCTGCCTGCTTTCAGTAACCCTCGTGCTCATAGTATAAGATTTTCATTCTGACTTTAGAAACATCTGTCAGGTAAAATGCACGACCTCCCTAATGTTCTGCTTTATACACATGGACAACAGAATCAGGGTACAACTCTATTTTCTGTGCCACATCACCGTGCACTTTTATGCCTCCAATGGATTGAGATACAAGATTTTCTTGAGGGCAGTATTTTGTCAAAGAGAGAGAGGTTTTTTGGGTTTTTTTCTGGCTCTAATGAAAACATCCATGAAAAACATTGGAATCATTCTGGTGAAACAGGTATTTGTAAATAAAGTAACCAAAGGCGTGGCATAGATATGGTGAGTCGACGACTGAACATTTCTTTTTCTAGCGTAGGGACAGCCACGAGGTCACACACATGAGCAGGCCAGACCTCACATTTAGTGGGAGTGTGTATGGTCTGTAAAGAATGATGAATGACGAATGATTTTACCGGGTAACGGTTTTCAACAGCAGATGCCCCTAGAACTCAGAAGATGCCCCTTGAGAGCCTCGAGAGTTTTCTGGTGGGGTGGTGACAAGCGCCACTTGGGAATACAGAAAGTCCTCACTTAGCATCAGCAGCAGGTTCAGTGACTTGAAGCGAAACGACATCTGATGAAACCACTTTGACCACAGGCTGACAGAAACGGGAGCTGGGCTCCTACGACATCTCAGCGATGTTCTAAAGAAACGACGGTGACACTATTCGAGGGCCTGCTGCGATCTAGAAATACATTTACTTGTCTTTATTGTCCTTAGAACTGCAGTCCACATCCCCCAGCACACAATCTAAAATAGGCATGTTTGAGTATTATCAATAAGCCACGGGGGGGGTTATTCCCTGTTTTGTTTTGTGATACCTTTTCTGTCTGCAGGGTGGACTACACTACAGTCACATATGGGTAAGGAGAAATAGTTCGAACTCTAGTGAGATAGCAGGTGGCCAGGGTCTTCAGTTTTATTGGTACTGGCTTTGTTAATTGCTGTTAAAATTGCAAGTAATTCAAAATGTACAGTTAGCCCATCCATTTTCAATTATGCATGACTAATTGCGATTTCCCAGGGTTGCAGGGCAGTCAGAAATAGATACAAGGGAAGCCCTCTCTCTACCCTGATGGCATCAGTTATATATTCGTGCTCTAAGCTCAGAGGAACAGCAAAGGACCCGCTACGTCTTCCTGTGGTTTTTATGGCTCAGAAAAGCCAAAGATGATTTCGGCTCCACTGAGCGCTGCCAAACAGTTGGCCCACGCTGGACAAGTAGTACATGTGCTTTGTTAAAAGTTTTTATGTTTGCAGTCCCAACCAGAATCCACAGTGACTTTTTAAAAAGTATAATTAGTTCTCACTGAAACTCTTTGCACTAATACAGCCCAGAGAGATTTGCAAACTTCATCACCTCAATGGCTGAGTGACATCACGCTTTTAATAAGTCTTAATTTGATCTGGCGCCATCACTGTGTAGGTACGTGCCTATGAACCCCCTTCAGATCCTTTCTCTCATACATAAAGACGACGTCTCTTGAAATACTAGAACAGAATACCTGCCCTGGTCTATCTTCAATATTTAGAGAGACTTTAACAGTTATTATGGGAATCTGTACAGCTCATACATGGCAAGGTAGTAATAGCCTGGTAAAGCATTTTTAGTTTCAAAGGTACTACTTGAAGAGTGGAATGATTTACTAATGTCCAAGAACTAAAATAAGCCATATAGAAATACGGGCCATATATGACAAGTCAAGTCACACAAGTATGCCTCAAATTATTTTACTGCACATCAGGATTTTGCCACAGAGTACACAGGGATATTGTGCTGTGCTGGGGGATTAATGCTAGGCCATGTCACATCATTATTAAAAGGTATTCTGATAGCTCACCCTCATTTAGATCAAAAACGGCCTCACGGGCCCCCCAGATGCATGCTGGCCGTGTGGGTCAGGTTCTATTCGGGCTCTAGAGTCCTTTGGAACGAAAAGGGATTTTTCTTTTGAAGCTTTCTAATTCAAATGTCCAGAGTGCACAATAAAGGCCCCTTCGAGGGTTTCTTTTTCAACCCAAGTAAAAGTAGAAAGCAAGTGGTCGCCTCCACCGTAGGCCTTAGAAGTGAGCCAACAGCTTGGAGCAGCCTCGAGGTGAAGATTTCATGTCATGGTGATGGTGGTAGTGACGGTAACGGTGATGACAATAGAGCGGTGGCAGTGGTGACAGTTACGGTGATGGCTGGTTGAGTGTTAAAAAAAAACCAAACCTTCAGTGCAAGTACATAGACACCGTCTCCCACAGCGAGGTGGGAAGGGTGCACCCCATGGTGACAGGCCCTTGTGCCGCCCCGGGGACTCCTTTTGGTCTACTCAAGTGGCACGAGTGGCCCGATCGGTGTTCAGCTGATACTAACAGCGTGGAGTGGCTTCATTAACAAGGCTTTGCTTGTCCCGGAGCCTGGAGGGGCCCGGCCCGCTGTGTGCTGCCCTCGCCGAGAATCGGGGCCCAGTCTCCCGAAGGGCAAGGAGTCGGGGGGATGCCGCCTGCACCCGGGTCCAGTGGCTCTTTCTCTTTGTTTTCCAGGACACAATGTAGGAAGCCTTTTCCACTTGGCAGATGATTTGGGCCGAGCGATGGAGTCCTTAGTTTCCGTCATGACAGACGAAGAAGGGACGGAATAAAGGTTTTACAAGTCCTGATTCCCGCATGGTTTTTATAATATTCATACAACCAAGAGGATTAGACAGTAAGAGTTTACAAGACAAAAAAAAAAAAATCTATATTTTTGTGAAGGGTAGTGGTACTATACTGTAGATTTCAGTAGTTTCTAAGTCTGTTATTGTTTTGTTAACAATGGCAGGTTTTACACGTCTATGCAATTGTACAAAAAAAAAAAAGTTATAAGAAAACTACATGTAAAATCTTGATAGCTAAATAACTTGCCATTTCTTTATATGGAACGCATTTTGGGTTGTTTAAAAATTTATAACAGTTATACAGAAAGATTGTAAACTAAAGTGTGCTTTATTAAAAAAAAACAAAATGTTGTTTATAAAAACCCCTAAACACACACACGCGCGCACACACACAAACACAAACATAAACTTTGAGGCAGCGCATTGTTTTGCATCCTTTTAGCGTGGTTTCCACGTGAAAACTCATGGCTTTTTTTCCTCGCATATTAAAGACAGGACTTCCTCCGACGCTACCAAATGACTGCTTCACGTTGCTCTTCTGAGAACCGTTGACTGAGTGGGCCTGGCTCTGGGTTTTCGTTTTACACATCTGTATGTCTATATGTAGATACTATGGGTATATAGATACATACATAGGAATCTCTAGAGAGCTTTTAAATGTCCTGTTCAAGTGTTCCTGCCACTTGCTAATGGCGAGACGTGGCTTCTGGTCACCCAGGCTTGCCTGCTCGGTCTAGAATGACTTTTGCCTGGAGCCTGGAGCCGGGAGGGAACCACCACACTAAAAACCTTGTCTGGGGCTCCAGATGTTTCTCATTTGAAACTTTCCACTGACAGCTAGAGGACTGCATTTTTTTGAAAAAGGAACATATGAGTGAGTACACAGGACTTACTATGTCCGAATAATCCGCTGGTTGGTTGCCTGTTGGCAGTGCCACAATTCAGGCTTACCGATGCTCCAGCCAGGGCATCGGGAGGCGTTTGCGCTCCCAGGCCCGAGGAGGGCCCCTGGGCTCTCAGCTGGCCCCTCGGGGCAGGCCGCTCCTGAAGGACGGGGAACCTTCATAACCACACGCAGAGCTCTGTGTAATTAAGCTACATGATTCTTCTCTCAAACAGCAGCGGGGGTTTGGGCTGGGGGTTTTTGTGTGTGTGTGTGTGTGTTGTTGGTTTTGTTTTTTGTTTTTAAGGATTTTTTTTTTCTCTTTGCAGTGAGTTTTTAAATGCCACAAGACTTACTTTAAAATAACCCTTGGGAAAATGTAAGACGGTAGCCCCATCACACTGTGATACCGTTAAATGTCCACCCAGAAGTTTGTGAACTGTGCTCCCCTCTGCATTTCTCTACAAAGTAATTCCACACAGGTTTGGAAGTGGGGGCGCAGGTTGGCTCAAAGGTTCCGAAAGGTACCCCCAGCCCTTTGGGGTGGATCGCGCAGGTTAAATAGATGAACAAACAGACATTGTTCAAAAAGATGAGAACAACTCGAGAGGACTGGCTCGTAGGAAAAAGCTTTACGCTTTCATTTCATCTTCTTAGTCGTTGATTTTTTTTTTTTTTTAAATCATTCATTCAATAGAAATCACCGTGTGACCTATTATTTTGCAAATCCGTTACCTCTCACGTCAAGTGTAATTAACTTTTGGAGAGTGGGTTTTGTCCATTATTTTATTAATGATAATTAACATCGCACATGGCTTCTCATGCTATTTCTACCTCACTTTGGTTTTGGGGCGTCCCCCGATTTCACATCTTCACCACTTGTCCATTGTGTGAACATTTTTGCCCAGTTTCTTTTTTCCTTTATAATTTCCAAAAGAAAACCCAAAGTTCTAAGGTAACAAATTACATTAAGATTTGGTTTTAGCCTTGCATTTTTTCCTTTACGTGCCACTGGATGTTTTCTTTATCCGAGGATTTTTTTTTTAATCACCATTTAAAACAGGGGTTACTTTACTTCCTACTAAGAAGTTTAAGTTTCATTCTGAAATCAGAGATAGAGTGCATAATTTTGTTTTAATCTTTTTGTTTTACCTTTTAGACATTAGTTCTGGAGTGAGTCTGTCAAAATATATGAATAAATATTGAGAGCTTTATTGCTACGTTTTAAGCATAATTTGGACATTATTTCGTGTTCTGTATAACCACTGAGTGTTGAACTGTAAATCATAATCAATGTAACTGAAGCATAAACATCACATGGCATGTTCTGTCATTGTTTTCAGGTACTGGGTTCTTACTTGAGTATCATAATATATTGTGTTTTAACACCAACACCAACACTGTAACATTTACTAATTATTTTTTTAAATGTCAGTTTTACTGCATTTTCACAACATATCAGACTTCACCAAATATATGCCTTACTATTGTATTATATTACTGCTTTACTGTGTATCTCAATAAAGCACGCAGTTATGTTACAAAAAAGGTTTGATTGGACTGCTATACTTTGTTTTTATTTTAATTTAGTTATTTCATTTTTAAATAGGTAATTCATGCATATGGTTGAAAAATGCAAAATCTAGAAAGACAAACAGTGAAAAGACCTGACCAGCCTGTTTCCACACCATCCTCACTGCCCTATGAGTAAATATTATTATTAAATTTCTTATGTACCCTTCCAAAGTATGTTTATTATTATATGAGCAATTACAAATGTGTTCCTCCTTTTTTCCTCTTATTACACCAAAGATAGCATTCTATTTATATACCTTGCTTTTTGGAACTTAAGAATGGACTCGAGATCCATTCCTTTTTTTTTTTTTTTTTAATATATCTTTATTGATTTGAAGGAGAGAGAGACAGAAAGATCAATGATGAGAGTCATTGATCGGCTGCCTCCTGCACGCCCCCTGCTGGGGATGGAGCCCGCAACCCGGGCCTGTGCCCTGACTGGGAATCGAACTGCGATCTCCTGGATCCTAGGTCAATGCTCAACCACTGAGCCACACAGGTCAGGCAAGAGATCCATTCTTAACTATATTAAAATGTATCTTCCCAATTCAACATATGAAATGCTTTCTCACTGTTTTATCACTGCATAATATTCCACTGTGTGTGGGATATTATTTAAGCCGTCCCTTTTGGTGGGATATGTGGGTTTTCTGTCTTTTGCTGTGACACAGTACTGCGCATCTCTCATTCCTTAATTCATTTGTGCAAAAAGATATATGTGGCACACATTCCTAGAAATGAGATTTGTGGATCATAGGTGGCAAGCATTTGTAGGTTGGGAGACCATTTTTGTGCAGCAACTGTCATAGTGTTTGTTTTGTTTTAGTAAAAACAAGTATACAAATTAACCAGTTTGCAATTTATACTTTGCTTCTCGAGAATTTCATAGCACTTCTATTATTGTTAATGATACCGGACCTAGAGGGGAAGTCTGAGTAGCAGGAGTCTCACCTAGAAAGACGCCACAGAACTGGTTCTGGGAAGGATACCCCTACCATACATAGTCATGGCCACCACCAGAGGGTGATCCCCGCACCCCTGTCCTGCTCTAGCTGCAAAGGGGGCTAGGAAAATGAGTGACTGTCAGCTCTTCTAACAAGAAGCTGTCTTTGCATCCCACCAAGATTCATGGTGAGGAGTTCAGATGCTAGGGATCCAAAGAAATTACAAAAGTTCACTAGCTTCAGCTGTTACGATGATTTTGGAAATAACACGGTCAAGTCCATTAAGAATGATAAGTATGACATCTGACAAATCACTTGCAAAGTTTTTGAGGGTGGAGTGATAATGCCAACCTAAGTGACTGTTACACTGAAAGACTGCCCTTAACTGGAGAGTATTATGCAAGGTGAAACAAGCCAGGCAGAGAAAGACAAGCATCACATGATCTCATATGTGGAATCTAATGAACAAATAAACTGATGAACAAAACAGATCCAGAGATATGGAAGCATGGAACAGACTGACAGATCTCAAAGGGAAGGGGGGATGTGGGGGCTGGAAGAATTAACCAAAGAACATATATGCATAACCATGGATACAAACAATAGTCTGGGGAGGAGGGGCAGAGGCAGGGTGGAGGGAATTAATGGGGGGAAAAAGGGAGGTATCTGTAACACTTTTAACAATAAATAAAAAGCAACAACAACAAAAAAGACTGCCCTTGAAGTCCACGTATACCAAGATTAATTTTCATCCTATTTAAATGAATATATCATTTATCCCTCCTGTCATTCCCCAAACAGGCCTTTGTTTGAAACACCAGACTGGTTGTTTTGATGGCACTCAACTAGGGAACTGAGGAATTTTTAACACTTCACCATGTCTAAGACAACTGTGTGTGGATGACTCTGAGGAGGGCATTTGGCTTTCTATTCCACACCTGGCACAGGCTGGAGGGGAGGGAATTGTTTCAGTTAAAAATTAAAATGGATCAAGCTGGTGCAGATTGTGCACCAGCAAGCGAAATGTGTGTTTGGGAGAAAGCATCAAGACTAATGGATGTGTCTGTGGAGCTGTGGTGGGATTTGCCTGCATTTGTAATGCCCTCGCGGTGGAATGAATACACTTGCAAAGACTTTGCCCTCAAATTAAGTGTAGGAAGGACATGAATAGAATTCTTTTCCACAGCAAAGCCACTAGAGTAGAAACCACAAACACATTCTCCGTTGCTCCTTGGACTTCAGAGTGCTCTGATCTCACCGACTTATTTGACAACACGAGAGCAACTGAGAGCAGCAACACACCAGACATCCCATAAATAAACAATGCTGCACGAGTGTGAAGTTTGCAGATGTTTGAGAGTGGCTTTTGTGTACAGAAAAGATTATGTACAGTAACTTGAGGCTTAAATCTGTACATATACAGGGTGGGGGAAAAGTAGGTTTACAGTTGTTCATATGGAAAATAATACAATAATGAATAAATAACAATACAAGAACAAACTCTGTGTTTTGCGTACTCACAACTGTAAACCTACTCCTGCCCCACCCTTTATGCATACATACATATATGTCTATAT